AAATACCATCCAGAGTGTGTGTTCTCTTCTTGTGTGCCCTTTCGGAGGCAAAAAGACCTCGATGGATGATGACGCAGAGAAGACAATTGAATGGAGGGATTGGAAATGGATCTCAGTTCAATTTCATTTGCTCTGATGTGTGCGGAGAGTCTGTGAGAAAAGAGGATGGTTGACTGCAAGAATGAGATTGCAATTCTTACAATGTTCTGCAGAATTTCTGTTCATCCCCAGAGAGCGAGAGAAAAGGTGCATCAGTTGGAATGCTGCGTATCTTCATAGCAAAGTGTCCTTCCTTTTCTCTTATACAAGCTCTTATATGTGTAGATTCTTGCTGTATAATAGAGTTGGGATGGGAATGGAAGACAAGCTCTTCTTATTTCTCATTATCCGTGTTGTCATTTGTGAAGTCAATTTAGCAAAATTGCTTAGAATATTTTCATATGTTAGTAGTCGGAAAGTTTGATATTCTTCTACAAATATGCTCTCTGAAATTCCCGAATCTATTTGGTTTTCTCAAAAATCGAGTCCCAGATCTTCTTGGAGGGAAGATGACGATGAAACTGAAAAGGCATCTGATATGTAAAATGAAGAAAACGAAATAGAAATTCATATAAGATTGCTGGTGATTCTAATCTTGGGGAATTGGCCAGTGAAAAGGCAGGGCAAAATGTGATTTTCTCATTCCTTTTGCTCTCTTTTCAGCTGCCCAGATATTTCTTCGGCATTAATCTCATCGCGGAGATTACCTGCAAGGTGAACTGGTGCGTGAATGAGGAATTTCTCTTTGGGATTGGACAGATGCTGATAGGGAGAGAGTGAGAAGAGAGTATATGTGTTAGGCCCAAGGAGCTCTTCTGGTCAGAAATGTCTGTGATTTTCCTCAATGCTTCAAGATGCGGAAAGGAAAATCTATGCTGTGAGAAGCCTGAAAGGCTAAAGGTAAGAATTAATTTGCTCATTAAAATAAGAGATGCAGTGGATGAGCTAAAGTGGGTACAAGTGATAAAATTACAGAGGCGGTCATCAATGGGGATAACAAGGCGCTCAGCAATGGTTTTAAATTCATGTTGAGAAATGCAATGGTAGAGAGAGAGAGGAAGTGGCGTTCATTTATTTAATTATAGCATTTTGTTGAGCATTATTATAACGTGTCTTGCCTTCTGTCTCTCTTTGCAAGCTTTATCGCTGAATCACACAATTCTTGAATTTTTTTTTCGACTCATACCCAAGAGATCATGATAATCTTTTCGCGTTTGTCTCGCAAGAGGCAAAACGAAGTTATAATTTAATCTCTTTCTGTGTCACATGCGGAGTGAGAGAGAATTGGATTAATCTTTTAGTCATATGTAGTGTGCAGGAGTACAACTATTGAATTTAATTTTTTTAGGTCACTCCTCTGGTGTATGTTGTATTGTGAGAGCGTCAAAGGATGGAATATGTGGTTTCTTGCAACTCATTTCAATTAATGATCAAAGTAGATTCATCTCTGTGGCATAATCTTTCGTTTTCACATTATCTCACATGTGATAAGATGAATCGTTGTTGGGTGAGAAAGAAGACTAAGAAGGCATTTTAGGGATTAAATGTCATGATTTACGATGATCCATCCGCGTATCGTTAATGCAAATGACTAAAAAGATATTTTTATTTGTTCCAGAACATCGCGCCACACATGGGAAGAATGCCTGTGTGTTCTCACGAGAGGATCAATGATGTAAGAGGATTCCTCTAGTGTCGGCATGAGAACAAAGAACAGAAGAATTCCGGGAGTGTCCTTTTCCTGGGCGCACCGACGAGATCGTTGATGCTATGAAAAATGACCTGGGAGTGCTCCAGAGTGCATCAATTTGCACAATGCGGAACTCTCTTTTGAGGTTTACACGCTTTGTCTGGGTGGTTTTATTTTTTCTTTCACCGCAAGGACGCAGGAAGGATCGTGGATGGTTTGCATCAACAATTCAAACGAGGTGAGTGATTAATCTTTGATCATTTGAGAATGCGTTGATTTATTCTTTCATCATGAATGAGCAGGATATGTGCCTGTAATTAAATTAACTATACTTTAATGTGATTTCCTAAAAAGGCATTGAGAATTGTGCTATTTGAGAAGCAGAGGAGGAAAAAGGTAGCCATTTTTTGTGTGTTGAATTAATGCTGACAACGCTATTCAAATCCACCAGTGGCTCGCTGGGGGATTAAACTTAATACTCTTCTCGACATCTCTAACTTTGACTCTTTAGAGTTGCTATTATAATTGTGTCATGAGGTGAAGCAGACGGGAAGATGATGATTATGTGGAGTTGAGACTGGGGTAACGCGCGCTCTGATTTCGGAAGAGTTCAAAAGCATCTCATCTTTGTCTGTCTTGAGAGCATGTCTTATTATAAATTTTTCACGGGTTCCCAACTAATGCTGATCAATTTCATACCAACCAATAATTGGATTTCCCACTGAGAGTGGGTGTAAAAATCACAATTCATTCTTTGTTCTCTGCATCTAT